TGTTGTAGCCTACTGTGAAATAAGTTGGTCATCTATAGAGCCTTGTAAATCTATGCTGTTATAAATACTTAACACCATGCAATCAACTAGGCTGGTTCTCTCTCCAAGGGCAAAAAAATTCCATAAGGGATTTACTTTCACTATCTGTAGCATATATACTAAGAACTATATTCCCTTTACAAAAAAAAAAAGAGCTTTCCCCAGGCTTTCCTCTTTTTTTGTAAAAAAGAAAACTTTATCCCTTGCTCTTAAAACTAACCTTCAAATAAAATATTAATGCCATTTCATGAAAAGTATTAAATCTCTCACTGGCTAATTGTTTATAGACCTTTTCAAAATGAATTTTTTCCCCAAATGGGATAAAATCCAACTAAGTCTGTATTTTGCTTAGCTTTAATAACTTAAGTTTTCTTTTCACCTAGGAAACTGTAGATTACTAGAATTTATCACCTTTTACTTAAACTCAAGGTAAGAGAATACTTTTACACCTTTCTTTTGTGTGTAATCAGTTGCAGAATTCATGTATTTTGAGCTGAAGCATTTGCAGGTTTTGCCCCACAAATGATTTCACTCTTCTTTTTGCCTACTTTAAAAACAGGTTTATACATGCAAATAATCCTTATCACTGATAGCTAAGTAGAAAATAAATGACTTCTCAGTTCAGAACGTATAAGCTACGGTTCTTAAAAGTGCTAGGGCCCTTAGAGATCATTTCTTGATTCTAGTCCAACACCCTAATTTCATTGAGGAAACCAAGGCTCAGAAAGTGATAATGAACTGCTCAAGATGACAGGTAGTAAGCAACAGAGCTGTGATTCAAAACCAAGTTCTCCAAGCCCATTGCTCTTGCCTCTGCACCAAAGCTACCAGATTTGACTAAAGAAAATACCTGTAATTATGACACAATGTACAATACGAAAAAGTATGCTAACCATATTTGTCAACAGAAGCACCAATTTAAAATATTTCAAACTCAAAATATTCTTTAAGAACTCAGAACAGCAAGTTGTACCCAAAATAAACATCCAGAACTCACTGAAGATATAGCTTAGGAAATTTCTGATTTTTATTTACAATAATAAAACTGTAAAATCCTATTGCAACCAAAAAAAATTTGCTTAAAATTTCATGTCAAAATGTAAATAAAGCCAGTTTTTTCCACTGGACAAATTATGTCACAGTGACCGAAAGAGAAGACACGCTATACAGATATCCAGCCAACTTATGGTTCAACTCTCTAGCTTATACTTCATATCAAAGTTAGAACAAAACAGAAGAGCTCACATAAGCACACTATTAATGGCCCAGGACCAGCCCTAATAAAATTTACTGCAGAAACCCTAATTCTGGAAATCTTCAGTGATTTAGAAACTGATTCAAAAAAAAAAGCATACACATATTTTATCATGAAATTTCAATCTGATACTAAAAACATCAACTATCTTCCTATTTAAGTCCAATTGTGAACAAATATCTATTTGACAAGAATGTTTTACTATAAGTCATTAGGAATGCCCATTTTTTCTGGGACTGAAAAAGTCTGATCTACTAATGCTGCTCAACTTCCTAAAATACCTATGAACTGACAAACTTGATCAACTTTGAAACTCCAGACGACTAGAATGCAAAATCCCATTAATTACCTCTTCTTTACTTTTAATGTAGAATAATTTTACAGCTTCCTACTATCTAGTGATTAAAACATCTCACAACTTTCTGCTTAGTTATTTATACCTTCCTCAGACATATCTTATAAATACAGCTAGGAAGATCTGGGGTCAAAGTCATGCCCTGCCACAAACTGAATGTCATTTAACCTCTCAGTGCTTTAGGCAACTAAGACTACGCAAGTCACTGATCTGAATTGGTAGAGAGTTTCCTCACATGAGAGTTCCCGATATCAATGCAAACACAAGTCTAATCCCTATTCCTATCTTTATAGACACAGTCACAATATCAATCTAGGATCTAGATTCTAAGGTTCTTTCTTAATAGCATTTAACTACAACTTGTTTTTAAAAACCACAGTATTTCAGACGTGTGAATCATTTCGGTGTTAATCAAAGTTGCCACTCTGTAACTTTGACTGCATTTGATATTTAAGATCCAATTACACTTTAAAAGGATGAAAACTACTAAAAATTCTAATTTGCTCAGATAGTACCAAAGACTAAAATAACTATGAGATGCTGAGAGCAGTTTTCCCACTGTTTTCCTACACAAACTACCTTGATCTCTTGTACAAATATAGGACTTCATCATACCAATTTGATGACTTGGTTTACCAGTTCCAATTTTTTAAAGATGATTTCCAGAGTACCACACTTTCCAAAGTTTAAAACATAAGAAATGGATTCTTAGGCTAAGTTAATATTTTCCTGCGGAGCAACTTACAATTAGTTACTGTGAAATCCTTTCATGGATAAAGTGTATGGGCATGGAAAGGGCAGGATCTCTATTCCACGCACACTACAAGCCAGGTGAAAACGTGCTACAATGTAGTCATGGCATTGTAGCTACACATCATACTTTAAAGTCCTAACAGTACTTCACAGACACCACCAGAAACACTAATTTAGGAACGCAAATTGTTCACAACTGCAACGAGAAAATGACTCAAAAGTTTGAGCAAACAGACTCATTACTAGAGTCTTTTCCTCTGTTCTGCAGCTACGGAGTTTGTGTTTGGTATTTGGCCATACACACACATCTCATTCGCAAGAAAAAGTCAACCTTACAACTAAAAGCTCCAAACTTTTTTTTTCTTTCCTCCTGGACCGCCCCCTCCCGCCAGGCCCCACCTGGTCTCCACCTCCCGGGAAAAGGGACGGCAGAGCCGGGTCGCAAATACGCCGGCCCCTCGCCCGGGAAGCGGGCGCAGCCCGGGGTGCGGCGGGCCGAGGGGGCCTGCTGCGGCTCGCTCCGGCGGGGCTGAGCGGGGAACCCGGTCCCTGGGCGGGCACAGGGGCCGCGGCCCCAGCGGGGTCGCAGCGGGTGAAGACGTAACTCGCTTCAATGAATGAGGCGCCCGCCGCAGGGACCCCGCACCCCCGTCCGGGCCGCCCGCCCGGGCCTAGGCGGGGCGCGGGCAGGGCCGCAGGGCGGCCGGGGCGCGAGGCACGGACGCGAGGGGCGCGCGCGGGCCGGGGCGCGGCGGCCGCCGGGCGGCCAAGCGGCAATCGCGGCGGAGCCCTAGCGCGGGGGCTGCACTCACCAGGATCCGCTTGAAGAGTGCGTTCTCCTTGGGCGGGAGGCTCACGGCCGGCATCGTCCCGGCTCCTCCCGCGGCTCCCGCCGCCGCCGCCCGGGTTCGGTCGGGTCTGTCTGGGGCGCTGTGGGTGTGTGTGTGTGTGTGTGTGTGTGTCCGCCGCCGTCCCCGGGCTGCCTCCTCAGCCCCGAGCACCCGCCGCCGCCGCCGCGCTGTTGCGCCCGCCTGCCCGCCGGCCTGGCTTGCTCTCAGCCGCTTTTCTCTTCCTTTCCCTGTTCCTGCCGCCGCCGCCGCCTCCCCCCGGCGGGTCCCCGTCGGCGGTTCACGTGGTAACTGAACAGACCGACAGAGGTAGCCAAAATGGCGGACGCGGAGGGCTTTCCCACCCGGGTCACACCTCGTAGCGCGCAGGCGCCGTGACCTCCTTTCCCCTCTCATCCCCTCCCCTTCCTATCCTTCCTAGTCCTCGCCTCCAGTCCCGCCCAGAGCCCTTGGGTGGTAGTGGGTGAGTTGCTGCGGCCCGGGAGCCGAGCGGGGCGGGACGTGCCTGCCCTTCCTCTCCAAAGTACAGAACTCTTCTCCCCTCCCCCTCCCGCCGCTTCCCCTGCCAGGCTAGCCTGAGTGTCAGTGGGCTGCCTGCCCCAAACTTGTGGATCAGAGCAGCCTTGGCTGGGGACGAGGACGGGGTGTGCCTCCCACAACGAAAGTCTAAAGGTCTCTGGGGGGCTGGTATTCTGATAACGAAGTGGGTTACATTAGGAAGCTGGAATGTCCCCGCGGAGAGAGGGAACTTAACCCTCGGCCAGCCCCAGAGTAGTGTCACGGGAGGGAAGCCAACTCTCCTAGCTGCACCGCAAAGCTTCGGCTTCTTTACCACTGTGCCTATTTGTTGGGGTGCATATCTAATTTGTAGATGAGACTTGAAAATTCTGAGTCACTAAGACCATTCAGAAGAAAAAAAGAGTTAGAAACATAGACTTCTGGATTAAGAGGTTGCCCGAAGTTCAAGAAGAAAATTGAAATGGGTAGAGGGGGAGGAAGTTGAATGACTGAATAAACTGTAGTACATGAATGTAATGAAATATCGCATAGTAAGAAAATAGGAATAAAATGACCTCAGAGAAAATGAGGTTATGGAATAAAATAAGTGAGAATTGTCATCTCATTTTAATCCTCACATCAACCCAGTAAGATATGTGCTGTATTAGCGCCTCTAATTCTCAGAGCTTTTTGTGTTAAGTGAATTCCTTTGTTCATTCAGAAGAATGAGGCATTTGAAGCTCGCCTAGGTGTAATTACTTGCTCAGAGTCTCACAACTACTAAAGTGTCTGAGGTAAGATTTGAACTCAGGTCTGACTCCCAGTCCATCATTCTAGCCTCTAGCTAGAGTTTAGAGCACCTACCTAAGCAACTGAAACAACAAGCATGAAGCAGAAGAATGAGAGACAGTGACAAGTGTAAATAAAATCTCTAAAAAGTAGATCTGAGTGACTGAAAAAACAATAATGGTCTCAGAGTGGAAATAATGAAACATACCCACCTCTAAGTGGGCAGAATGTTGCATACACAGATACTATCACTGTATCTTATTTTTCTTAACTGTTTCTTTGTTACAAGATTAGATTCAGGGTGGGAGAGAGGAAAGGAAGAGAAATTACTATGATGTAAGAACAAAAGATATCAATAAAACTTATTTCTAAAAACTATAGCTAACAATTCTATTTTGTAAGAATAGCTATTGTAAAATATTAGGGAAAAAATTTTATTAGAAAAAGTCAGTAGAATGTGAGATCAAGGGTCATTACATTTTTGCCATTGTATCCTCAAAGCCTAGCACGGTGTCCAAAAATGTGTTGACTTGAACAAATGACTTTAGAGAGCAGGAGGGTTGTGGAAAGAGTCTGAAGCTCCATATCATGCTGTCATATCATAGGTAACGAACATTCCCTAGGAGTTCTTGAAATCAAATAATATAGCTTGATATGTAAAAGTGCAAGGAAATGTTGTATCTATTAACAGTTAGCTTAGTCACATAGTTTATCAAATATCAGACTTCAAGCCCTCAAGCTTAATAAGTATTGGAAGGGTTTTTTGGGTTTGTTTGGGTTTTTTTGCATTGGTTCCCTAATTTCCATTGAAAAATAGCTCACCACACCAGTATAATCTTTTGACAAAAAAAAAAGAACTGTTAATCTGTGATACATAGTATCAGAATAAGATTGAATACCTGCACAGGTGAACCACTGATATAGTTTGGCAAATATGATTTTGTTTCTATGACAAAGAAGTAAATAGCCCCCAGTCCCAGTGGCAGGTTTCTGGACTCTACGTTTGTCCAGATAGTATCATAGTTAAAATGCACACAAGTTTATATAAGCAGATAGCATCAGTCTAGTCACACAGTCTAGTGGCTTTGATAGTCTGAGCTCAACAATAAAATAGCTATGTTGATAACTACCTTCTGAAAGCTGGAGATTCAAATTAGCCTCAGTTACAGTGAATGGCATTCTATCCAGGTATTCACAGAAACATTATTATCCCATGCCATTGTTTGATGCTGCTGAGTGAATTACAAACTTTACCTGTTATATTTGCAGCCCTGTTTTGTTTTTCTCCATCTCAAAAAAGATTTAAAAGTAATTAAATTATTTCATTTGCAAATTCTTCATTTAATTCTGGGAATAGATTAAATGTTATTTCATTTAGTAATATCTTCACTAAAAACTAAGTTGTGTTTTTTAATGCATCATCACAAACTCCATAGAAACTAAGGGTAAGGGAAGGAATTAGCCTTATTTGTGTTACCTAGATCATGAAAAGACTAGAAGTAAAGTTCAGGTCTCTTGGATGTTACATGACAGCTTCAATACTCAAAGTTAGGTAGCCCAACTGGAGATAATGGCAGCACTCAAATATAATGACAACATTTTATAAAAGCTTATTAAACTCTTTCCTCCTAACAGCCCTGTGAAATACATAGTATAAACATTATCTCCATTGTACAGAGATGACTCGAAGCAATACAGTGTATGGCATATTGTGTTGGCCTTGAAAGTCAGAAAAATCTAGGTATAAATTCTACCTCTGACATTTAGTAGTATCATAACCCTTGGCAAGTTGATTTACCACCATGTGCCCCAAACAACTCCCTAGGACTTGTCAGTCAGTGGAGGGAATCCCCATATCAGGAGTTCCCCATCTTGATGAAATTGAAGCTCCTTCTGAATAATCAGGAACAGATAATAACTAGTGTTTATATAGTGCTTGTTGCGTACCAGATGTTTGTTTTGTGGGAAAACAGAAATAACTTGTCCAAGGCCACACAGCTAGTGTGTAAAACTGAATTGGAACTCAGGTCTTCCTGCCTCTACTTCTAGGGCTTTTATCAATAATGGTACCTAGTGACCTAAGATAGGAAACAAGTTCAAGGAAAGTAAGTAATTTGGATGTGGACTCACAGCTAGTAAGTAACCTACATCCCCAATTCCAGGTTTTTCATAGCTATTAGCGAATCTAGAGTTGAGAGTCCTTAGAAATTATCTAGCCTTACTCCTCTCTCTTTCTCCCGCCCCTTTTTTTTTTTTTGCAAATGAAGGCACCAAGGCCAGGAGAGGTGAACTAAGTTGTCCAAGATCAGTAAAAGCCAGGATTTAAACCCAACATCTTAACTCCAGAGTTCTTTCCACTACAGCACACTACCTTTTAGTCCTGGTTTAAACTGTCATTTCAGATCTGGTTTCTAGCTTTTGTCACAAGTGTATTTTCCGGCATAATTCTATTCAAGCAGCTTCCAACATGTGGGAAATTTTCATTACTCCATCACTTTCTCAAAATCTATAGTAAGAGAGAAAAGATGGAACCTCTAGTAAAAAAAAATACATATATACATACATACATACACACACACACACACACACATATATATATATGAGGGCAGTGAGGGGTGACTTTTACTAGCAGCCTCAAGGCAATTAATAATTTGCTTGTTAAGCTTGAATACTCTGACACATGGCTTCTGTTCAAACCTGTTAGATAGTGAATAGGGTCTGTGTTGTGGCATGCTTCCTTCCAAATGAAGCCATAGGAAGGATATATACACTAACTTGCTGAGAAGACAAAATTATAATTTGAGAGCTAGTCACTGACTCAGTAAATTGGTGGCTGGTTTGCTTACTTGAGCTTAAGACCTAGAGGCCCAAACTCGTTGCAAAACTATAAAGTGACTCATGTGTCATCAATCCATTGGAGAGGCAGTTTTATATACAGATAAGCCAGAAAATCTATTACACTCCTAATTGTTTAACTTTGTGGTCAGCAGTTCTTGGACAAAGTTATAAAGTAGACCAATAACATATAATTTAAATTTCCTGGGCTAAAGAAAAAGTAGGAAGGAAAAAAGATTTTGGTGTATTGTTTTTATTGATGTTCATAAATTTGACAGAAGTCACTGTGGTAAAAGAGGATAAGCAACTGGTATAATGGAAATTGAAGTAGGGATGCCTGGCTTTGTGAAGAGACTTCACTGTCAACAAGCATTTATTAAGGGGCCAGCCCCTGAACTAAGTCTTCATTCTCCTAGTCTCTATTTGTTTGCAAAATAGGATAACACTTGCATGTCTACTTAACAGGATTGTGAGAAAGGCATCATGTGAGCCTTATATAACTACATGAGTTAACATCATTATTACTTTATACAGAATAGTAGATAGTATAGTACAGTAAATCTTTCAAAGAAAAATACTCAACAGAAAAGAACTTGATGAACATAGGCCTTTTAAGGTTCAAGTAGGATTATTTTGTAGGATCACTGATTTAGACTTGGAAGGGACCTTAGAGGTCATTTAATTAAGCACCCTCATTTTACAGGTGAGGAATCTGGAATTCTGAAAGGTTGAGTAATTTTCTCTAGGCATTAGAAGGGAATTTAGAGACCATCTGGTCCAGGGGTTCTTAACACTGAGGTCCCAATCAATCAATCAATAACATTTATACCCTATGCTAAGAGCTACAGATACAAAAAGAGGTAAAAGACAGTCTCTATTCTCAAGGAGCTTACAATCCAATGGGGAAGACAAGATACAAACAAATATGTACCAAGTAAGCTCTATATAGGATAAATAGGAAATAATTAGAAGAGGGAAGACACTACAATTAAAAGGGTTGGAGAAGGCTCCCAGTAAAAGATGGGATTTTAGTTGGGAAAGAAGCCCTGCAAATCAGTAGTTGAAGTGGAAGAGGGAGAACATTCCAGGCATGAGGAACAGCCAGAGAAAAGGTCTGGAGCCGAGAGAGGGAGAGTAGTTTGCTAAATAAATTTCAAGCGTTCTTGGGGAACATTATTTTCATCCATCTCTAACCGAAATTTAGCATTTCCTTCAATGGGTTAAAAACATTATTCTGAGAAGGGACCCATAGTCTTCACATATGAGGCAGCTAGGTGGCGTCTGGAGTCAGGAAGATCTGAATTCAAATCCAAACCCTGACGCTTCCCTGGCAAGTCTTTTCTCACTTTTGTCTGCCTCAGTTTCCTCCTCTGTAAAATGGAGATAACAATAGCAACAATCAAGGTTGTTATGGGAACCGAATGAAATATCTGTAAAGCGCTTAGCACAGAGCCCAGCACATAGTAGGCGTTTCATACATGCTTATCTTCCTTCGCCAAAGTGCCAAAACTTAAGAACCTCTCATTTAGTCCAACGCCCCCCCCAAAAAAAAAAAACCAAAACCAGCTTCCAAGGGCAGCATGGCGTAAGGGATCGACGGTGGCTGGGCCAAAAAGGGAGATTAGCCTTTTCCTGTTTTTCACTCTTAAGCCGCCGGTCCCACTTCACCAACCTGATAAACCGAAGTGGAAAGGGCGGAGGGGCGGGGGCCAGGGGCGGAGCCTGGAACAGCCCGACATCACAAAGGCCCGCCTCCTGCCCAGCCCGAGCCTGGGGCGGGGCTTGTCGGGGTCACGGGATCAGGGGGAGGAGCTTCCAGGACGACATGCGGACCAAGATGGCGCCGTCCCTGATGCTGCTGCCACAGCTGTCTCGACTCCTTTCCGGGTCCCGGCTCCCACGCCACAGTGAGTGTCCCCGCGGCCCGCGACGACTTCCCCAGGGCCCACTTCTTTCCTGATCCCTGGGGGGAGCGAGTGCGAGGAGGGAGGCGCGGTTCATGCGTGGCTCCGGTCGGGCCTTGTCCGTGACCTTCGGCCGGGGTCGCGTGCAGCCCCCCCAAGCCGTGTCCCTCCCCTTGCGCCTCCCCTGCTGCGGTCCTTCACCCCTACCTCGTGCCCCCCACTACGGCCACCCCAAGTCCCGGCCCCTCCCCCTTTTTCTTCATACTTCTCCATTAACTGCAGTCTTTCTCCATGCTTGAAAAATGGGACGATGTCTGTCAGTAATATCAGCTCTTATTTGTATAGCACTTTAAGGGTTGCTTCTTATCCTTATTTTACAGATGGGGAAACTGAGGCTGAGAGGTTAAGCGACATGCCCAGGGTCATCCAGCAAATATACATCAGAGGCAGTATTTGAACTCGGGTGTTGCTCACTCTCCGAGGCTAAGGATCCATTGTATCAGCCGTCTTTTAGGTTTTAGAGCTAGAAGGGGACTTTATATAGATTGTGTAGCCCCATATGTGATACTGCAAATATTTCTTAAACGCTTGCTGTGTGTACCATCACCAACGGCCCCTTGGGTTCATAAGATGGGAACCTGCCCCCATAACGAGTGGGCCCTTTTGATTCTCAAAGTGCTTTTCCCACAGCAGTGCTGAGAAGGAGCTGGTATTTTATTTAATGATATTATTCCCAATTTACAAATGAGGAAACTGAGGCCCAGAGTAGCATAAGTGGATAGAGCACCTGAGCCTGGAGTCAGGAAGACCTGACTTCAAGTCTACTCTTAGACCTGTGATCCTGGGCAAGTCATTTAAGCCCTGTCTCAGTTTATTCATCTATAAAATGAATGGTCGAATGATACAACAATTGTAAAACACTTAGCACAGTGCCTGTCGCAGAGCAAGCACTATATACATGTTAGCTATTGTTATTGTTGTCAGCTAGGTGGTGCAGTGGATAAGGTGCTGGGCAATGAGTCAGGAAGACTCATCTTGTTGAGTAATCTCAGACACTTATTGTGAGACCCTGGACACGTCACTTAACCTTGTTTGCCTCAGTTTCATCCTCTGTAAAATGAGCTGGAGAAGGAAATAGCATACCCCTTCAGTATCTTTGCCAAGAAGACCCCAAACGGTCATAAAGAGTCAGGTACAACTGAACACCAAAAATTATTATTTGTCCGTAATCACATAGAGATTATAGTAGCTACCATCCTAGAACTTCTTGCAGTTTCCCATTCACAACATTCCATCTCTGTGCCTTTGCACACACTTTCCATAATGAACTTCTTTCTTAGCTTTGGCTTGTTGGATGCCTAAATGGCTCAGCTCACATCCAGTACTTCCTGATCTGAGTTAGTTGGTAATGTTCTTTCCACCTTATTCTCTGAATTTACTTAGATAGTTTCGCTAGATAAGTCTCAACCTCTTAGTGCCCCCCAGCAACTCTCTAAGACTGATTTACTGAGCATACGGTGGTTTTCGTTAGTGGAAGGAGTTTCTCTACATGGGTAAAATCACACAGCTCTTTTTTCCACGAAAGTATTTTTAATTTGAGGACAGTTTGGGTTTTTTCCAATATAAGCTTCTTGAGAACAGGGATTGTTTTGGTTTGTCTTTGTGTCTCCAGCGTTTATCAGAGTGCTTGACATATCATAGGCACTTAATAAATACTTCTTGAAGTGAACAGAGGAATAAGATGCCAATAGAGACTTTGAAATGCACACAAATATATATGTAAGTGCATTAGAGGGTGGAAAACCAGATGGTATGTACACAGGGACATGCAGCTCATAAATGCAAAGCCAGATTATGTGAATTCACATGGTCTGAGAAAGCTAGTACTTTGTATTATTACACAATGCCACCTCCTGCATCCATTCAGCTCTAGACATAGTCGACAGTGAGCACACTCAATTAGATATCTTTTTTCCATTAAAAAAAAAGCCTAGAGAGGCTATCAGCCAGTTATAGTAGTTGTAAATAAATCATCAATAAAACTCGAAAATGTATGTTTGTTTCATATTTCAGCCTTGGTTCGTTCAGCATTTTACGTTCGGGACAACCAAAATGACAAACCCAACTGGCTGAAAGTTATACTAGCCTTGGGCAGTACTGCAGGCCTGTGGGCCTTCGTAAGTATTCCCTTCTATAGAGAATCAAGTTATTCAGTATGGGAAACAGAAGGGTAGTAGTGGGGACTAAAGGTTGTTATGAAATGGAAAGTTGCTGGTTGTGTTTAATCTGTTAGCAGACTTGTGTAGATTATAGAATTTCAGAGTGGGAAAGGACCTCAGGGACCATCTGGTCAAAACTACCTCAAAAAGAATCTCCTTTATGACATATCTGGCAAGTGGTCATCTAGCTTTTGCTTCACTTTCAGTAAAGGAAGTAGCGGAGAACACTCTGGCCACAGAAGCAGCCTGTTACGCTTTCAATAATTCTGTTGGAAAGTTCCTTCACATCTAGCCTGCTTCTACCCATTCCAACTAGTTCTGCCTCTAACTAGTCTTAACCTTCTTCCAAGTGACATTTCTTCTTAATAATAACTGTCATCCCTCCACCACCTCCAAGACTTCTCCAACTTCTTTAAACTGATCGTTATATATCATCAACTTGACATCTATCTGGATTGACCTCTGGACCATCTCTAGCTCATCAGTCACTTTTCCAAAATGGACATTGTAGAGAGTAGGGCAAGACCATCACCTCTTTCCTGGAATCTGTGCCTCTTGATGCCCCCTAAGATCACATTAGCTTTCTTGGCTGCCGTATTATACTGTTGACCTACGTTGAATGTAAAATTCAGTAAAACCCACAGGTCTTTTTTCAGATAAGCTGTATATACATCCATGCTCGGCTGTCTTGTAGTTTTGAAAGTGATGTTTTGAACCTAAATTTAAGACAGCCAGTTGAATGTTACATATGTTCAAAGTGTAGAATGGTTTCCTTTCTGGAAGAGGAGATAAAGACACCCAAGGAATGTTTTTGTATTATAACACTGTAAAGTCTGTAAACAGAGGGGGAAATTCCCAAAGTAATAGAAGTGGAAACAAAGATTCTTTTGATATCTCTGGTAATGTCCAGGAAAGGAAAAGGGATATGTATAGGAAAGTCGATCCTTTTCAATATTTCTTGCAATTCAGAGTTGTGTTAGCCGTCATGACATCTCTTCCAGACTTTTACTGTATTCTGCCTTTTGCTGGCCTTAGAGTCACCTAGACATCTTATTGACTTGCTGCAGGAAAGAGTAAAAACAATTAAGAGGATATAGAAATGAAATTCCATTATTACAACTCTGTGGCTGGATCTTTTTCCAGATTATGCCCCTCTAACCATACATATCCTTCAAGATTCTATCCTAAAAATTAATCTGTTGCCTGAAAATATTACTATTCATAACTCAAAAATTTTAATCATTCCCGATATTACTACATATGCCTCCATGCTTTAATAGATCTGTGATCTAATCCATGTATGTCATTCCCTCCAAAGATGTAGATCATAGCTCATGCATGCCTTCTTATCCTGTATTATTCTTGTCTTCCAAAGATCTTCCACAGAGGATCGATTCAAATTCCTAAGTACTTCCTCCTAGACCTACAGGGTTCTGTCCTAGGCTCTCTTTTCTTCTCCCTCTATCCTATTTTACATGGTGATCTCATCGGTTCCCATGGATTTAATTATTATATTTATGCTGATGATTCTCAAATCTACCTATCCTGCCCCAAACTCTGCTCACCTCCAATTTCACATTTCCAACTGCTTTTCAGACACCTTGAACTATATGTCCATTAAACATCTTAAAGTCAGTATTTCCAAAACTGAACTCATTATCTTTCCTCCTAAATCCCTCCACACCTTCATACCCCCATCCCATCTTCCCTATTATTACCAGTAGAGACCAAGAGTATCTTTGCAATCCCTCAGGCTCAAGACCTAGGAGTCATCCTGGATTCCTCATTATCTCTTACCCTCTCTATCCAGTGTGCTAATAAGGCCTGTTGATGTCACCTTTACAAAAGCTCTCAAGTCTCTTCCTGCTCCAATGCATCTCCCTTCAGCCATCAAAGTTATTTTCCTAAAGCTTGGGTCCAATTATGTCTCAGAACCCCTAACCCAACCCACTCCTTACACAGTTAACTCCAGTGGCTCCCTATTGCCTCCAGGAGGAAATACAAAATTCTCTGTTTAGCATTCAGAGCTCTTTCAAACCTGGCCCTCTCTTACCTTTCCAGTCTTCTTACACCTTGCTCACCAACATGTACTCTTCAGTACGGTGACACTGGCCTCCTGGCTGTCCCACAAACAAGATACTCCATCTGTAGGCTCCGGGCACTTTTTGTGGCGGTCCCTAACCTGAATACTCTCCCTCCTCTGCTCCAAATAATGACCTCCTTGGCTTCTTTTAAGTGCCAACTAAAATCCCTTCTTTTACTGGAAGCTTTCTCATCCCCTCTTAATTCCATTGCCTTCCTTCTGTTAATTAATTCCTATTTTTCCTATTCTCTTTAATTTCCTGTTTATATTTATAGCTTGCTTCTTATATATTTGTTTGAATCTTCTATCCCCCGTGAGATGACAAGCTCCTTGAGGGTAGGGACAATCTTTTACCTCTTTTTGTATTCACAGCATTTAACACAGTAAGTACCACATAGTAGGTGCTTAATAGATGTTTATTGATTGATTGATTATGGACCTTAAAACTGGATTTCTGT